GGTGCGGCTATAAATGACCGTTAAATGAAATGATGAATTTTTGAAGGATTTTGAAAACGGAAAAAATGCTAGTCATGCCAGCTCAGCATCATCAACATTGAAAAATGCCCCGGCATGAAGTGGTTAATAGCAACGTGTCATCAAACAATACCATGTGCAGGATTATCTTAGCAGTCATTTATGTCTGCTGTGGATGATGACAGATCTCCATCTGTTCTGTTGATTTCCATGTAACGTTTGATTTTTTCCAATATATATTCTGGCACCTCAAACACCTTGAGTTCTGTCTCCTCTAGCAAGTGGTTGTCCCTAAAATGAACAGATAAACAACAGATATTCAAGCTTGACGACACCTGCATCATGTAACCTCAAGTAGTGTCTGTCACAAAGGATAATAAAACAACAGAGTTGACTCATGCTAGAATGAACTCAGTTGAGAAGAAATTCTGGTTAAAATAAACACAAATCATCCATCCTGAGTACACAGTGCATGTTCCTCATTACTGTGCAGTCAAAACAGGTTTATTTGTGATTAGATAATAAAATGGCTACCCGCAGCATGAAAAGTAGTGTTCAAAGTTCAGTTTATTAAAGTTTGGCTGATTGTTGAGCTTCCTAATATAGTTTGCACATCAAAAATAGGTTGGATCATTTCAAAACAAGTTTAATTTAATAAAGTAACCCCCTATTGAAAAGCTTAATCCACAATTTACAATTCCCACCGAAAGGATATCAATGCCCAGTTAACACAACTGTCTATTTATGAAGGTAGTCTTTGAAAATGAGTTATCAGACCTGAAAAAAAGATTGAAGACTCTCTCTATCACATGCCAAAATACCAAATTTCTCCATGTGTCATGGTGTGTGCATAAGAAAGTAGTGTCTGCCAGTTATTTATGTTTCTCATTGCTGTTACAGATCCATGTCATTGTGATTTCCACAGGCATACTTTTCAATACATATAGTTCTTCCAGCTCTATTCATGGTGACAATTTGATTTCCAATGAACAAATCATTTTCTCACATATTTAACCAATGTGGTAATGTAGTATCACTGAAGAAACCACATGTTCTGATGTACAGTACATGCCATATACTCGTAGTCCTCAAACACAATGCATGCACAATGAACAAGAATGACCTTTTGGTCAACTCTAGCTGACTTCATACAAACAGGAGTCAATGCTTTCTGATTTCTTTTGACATTTAATATCAGTCTTCAAATCCAATACTACCACTGCGGACTATGCCAATACATGCCACACATGCACGTACATACCTATATTCCTCTGTATTGGCCAGCTCCAAGATATCTTCTAGCAATAACATGTAGGCTTTGCCACCTGTAGCTGGCATGAGATGATGTTCATATAACCACTGCTTGTCATCTTGATCTCCAGAGTACTATGCCCAAGGTGAAGAAAATAAAAAAGCCTTAAGAGTCAACTTACACAAAAAAACCCAGTACAATAGTAAAAATCCTGTGACAGACTGTGGACCTACGGGCAAAGTTAAAACACTGTGAATGCCCTGGTTCATGAACTGTCTGTCAGAATGACAGTACAGAAGTAACTGATATCACATATCCTCCAATTATCAATAAAAGCATCTGGATATGGAGACACATTTCAAGCTGCTGAAAACTGGGACAAAATTGAGAAACTAAAAGCCTACAATACCACTTGCCTGAACATCATCGCAGGCTTGATACTTAGGCAACATGTATGCAAGGTACCCTACTTTGAAATACGATACATCCCCAAAAGGAACCAGCTCAGCCTCAACAGCAAGCACAGAATCTTGTTACTTTCAGTATTAGGATTAAGAATTATATTATATTTCATGAAATTCAAACCAAGAATGCTAAGAAAATTATACGCTCTCCAATGTGCTGAACTCTCTTTGGTTAAGTTCATTTCTGGAGACTGTTTGATTTAATAAAGTTTCAATAATTTTAGTCACAATTTAATACACATTACCCACAATTAGGCAAGTCTGCCTATGATTGGAAGAGTGTACCTCTGAGTTAATCACTGTTTTTCTTCACCACTTCCTACCAGGTGGAATTTGCATGTGCAGGATGAGTTCCAGGGGGATTTTCAAGATTTTTCGTTTTCAAAATTCTTCAAAAATCCACAACTTCATTTACTGAATGTTTTCACCAACACAAATCACTGTCTGGTGGCTACTCGAATCTGACAGGTCACCTCCATTGATGCCAGAGTATTGCAGCCAGGCCTGCTGCCCAGTTAAAAGAGCCCAGATTGTGTGATGTTGCATAATTTCCTTTGGTTCCGAAATTGGCCCAGTGCATTGCAGAATGCCAGTGGTGTCTTTTCAAATGCCTCTGGATTAGCATGCAGCAGTACTGTATCGCTCATCACTGGAGTGCTTTTGTCCCCGCGGATAATCCACTGGCACTGAATGCCACAAACAGTGGTATGCTGTTTTAAACCAATGAAGGATTACCTCCGTTAATGCCAACTAAAAAAAGATGGCAAATCCTAGCAACTTGGTCTTTTGTTCTGATGACGGTCTTTTGTTACAAGGCTTTTTTGTCCGATGTTGGTTACCCTGGCGATGCATACAAACCTAAAGTGCCCAGTTCCGGAAACCCCAGAGGCAAATGGTTAATAGGTTTACTTTCAAGTAATCTGTTGATTCACTGATTCTATTCAACTTACTTTGAAGAGGTCTGGGTGTTTGATGTAGAGCCTGCCTCTCGTGTTTCCTAGTCCAAGAGCTCTGAATTCAAGATTGAAGAGATGTTACAAAGTGTGAAAACATCAAGACAGGAAAACACTATGTCATGCTCTATAGTAACTCTCCAAATATCATTAGTGAACTTCCTAATTCAATGATACTTCATGGAGAGAGCTGGTGTTTATGAACTGCTGACTATGACATAAGACCACCAAAAATGTTAGCAACAAAGCCACAGCAGCTTGACAATAAGCTTCTGGGTGCAAACAATTATCAATAAGACATTTAACTGTTTTCTATACATTTGCCGGAACTATTGTAGCTGGGCCCATCAGCTCAAATCATAGGTCAATCACAAGTCAAGTCAGAGTGTATAAACAACGGTAAAGGAATGTCCATGTCACAGTTCATGTGAATAGCAACATGTAATACTTGAGACAGAATAACTTATTAACCCTTACCCTCCTCAATCCTTCACCTGTTGGAGGACTGAGGAGTGTTAGGGTTAAGGCTTCTGGTGGTCTTGGCTCTTTTTGATGGCCGTCACTGAAAATTGCGCCACAATAGGAGGAAATTCTTGACAAAGCTGCAAAAAAAAAAAAAAAAAAAGAACAGAAAGTACATGTACTTTTGGAGGTTATGAAAATTGTTTTTACTTACTTGTTTGCACGAGCTCCCATCACAAACTTTGTGTTCTTTGTAAGTCGAGCTGGGTCCCATTTTGGTCCTTCTTTTTTAACAACTTCTAACTTTGGTTTTGCAGCTTTGTAACCTCCACCACCAGTTAGTGGGATCTCATCTGTGTAATCTCTGTGATGTAATGGTGGCCGGCCTTTCCGCTGTGGTGAGAAAAAAGCCAGTGCTTTTGATAAAAGAAGCTGATTTCACAAAAAGCCAAGTCACACCTTAGAGTAATCTATCCATGTACAGGTACTATCATACCGCACCAACCTCCTTTATGATTTAGGTTCATCAACAAACCCGAAGAGGGAGTTATGCATACAAAGACAATGTACATGTACAATACAGTATACGCAGCTCAATGCATACGGGCATGTGTATGTGTACGACTGCACATGTCAAAGTGGCCTATCGAGTCGCAAGACCATGTGCACATGAGTGTGCATAGTGACTATTAACACACAACAACGTGTGCATGTACTTGTATACACAGCGTGTGGACTATGCCATTGTAAATGTGTGCATGTACGCCATGGTTAAGGCTAGAAGTTGCCTGGAAAATTTTATTTCTCCGTAAAATGTTCAAGTCAAAATACAATTGTGAGGTAGTACAACTGGTACGATACTGCAGCAAAACATGATATGGCATGTTAACATGTACCAAGACTTAAGCATCATGCAATGATCATTACACAATATTGTTTGCTGGCATCAGTTTATTAGCATCTGGCCCTGAAACATTGAACAACCCCCACAGACACTTGAAAACAAAGTACATGTAGAAGGAAGTCATAGGCCTTTTTCTATCATCCTTCCTTTGCTTGAATGATGTCTTTACTCATAGAGAAGTTAGCACTTTAATTAAACTACTTGGATTAACCCTAACCCTGTCACATGCAGCACAGTGCATCAGGTGGAAAAGGCTTGATGCACTTGGCAATCAATGGCAGCTGAGCAAACTGGCCATGTTGAGACTATGAGAGCTAGTTCCATTGACCAATGCCACTATTGAATCTTCTGGTAAATCGCAACCACAGACTCCCAGGCTGTTTGGCCTTGGGGAGAGTTGACCTGTTGGATCTTGTAACACTGGGCAGGCAAGCCACTTTGACAACTATGATGCAGACTGATGTGTCTGGTAGGGTTTCTAGCCAAAGTACCCTGGACAATTAGAGTTAAGGCACGCAAGTTGAAACAGGGGCCATTCAAAATTTCCAGTGTTTTTAAATTTCAAATTTTTTTGGAAATGGGGGTGGATGGCTCAAGGAAAGTAATTGAAAATTGAAATTCATTCCTTTTATTCCAAACCAAAGTAAACCAAACCAAACCATCCTTTGACCTGCCTAAACTATTGTATGTGACTGAACTGAACTTCATGACATGGTACAACATACATCGACCAGTACCTATGCATGTACTGTACATGTTACATGTACGTGTACGCACGTTGAGTTCATGCATTACAACACCACCGCATGCCGGCGTTCCAATGTATACGAATGTTGTCGCTCCCATTTTTGGAATGTGAATGATCTGTATGCATTTGCGTAAAAGACCATGGGAGCATGTGGTTTTTCAGTAGACTTGTATTAGTTCAACATTTGTAATGGTCAATCTTCACAAGCAGGGCACCAGTTGCTCGTTATTGGTTTACACACATGGATTGCTGTTCACTGGCTTTTCCTGGAACGCATGCATGTACATGTACAATGTACATGCATGCAATTTCATGTAGTACGCTGGACTGGAAGTTTTAGCACTGGACGACAAAATCACTTTTTTGTTTATCGAAAATGGGGGTGGGTGGGTGGATCAAAAAATTGGACACAAATTGAAATTTAAAAACATTGGAAATTTTGAATAGCCCGTTAGTCCAATACACAAACCTTTCGTGTCTGTATCTGTGGTGTAGGTCTGAGAGAGAATGTAGGTGCCTCACCTGCATCATCATCAAGTTTAGGATGCTGTGGATGTAAAGTAGCAAAACACATTTACAAATTTCAGTGAAAAGTTACACCTTTTGATATTTTTCACCCTTATTTTGGGACAGCCATTCTATTTTACATGTAGAAAAGTTGCAGTTACCAGTAGTAGGCTAATACGTGTATGTGTACATGTATATTCATGTTTCCACTACAAAACAAGAATTAAAATGTAATGGTAAGAACAGTCAAAAGGATACTCAAGAACTCTTTGAGTGAAATGATACAAGTCAAACCTTTGGCACTGGTTCTTCATTGGCCCAGCTGGAACCCTTGTGCTTGAAGTTAACGATATGACTGGCATTGCTCATACTGTTACTCTCTGATGTTTTACTGTTCTCAACTGAGCATTTTCCCTGGGGCTGAAATATGCCTTTTGCCTGTCAAAAGAAAATGTGGTACTTATACATGTACATTACATGCATCGTACTTACATTTACATGTACTTAGTAGAGATTCTCATCATCTCTAGTCCTTCCTGACATCATTCTCTAGACTAAAACTATATAAACATAGATCATTAAGGTCTTCAATACTGGTGTCATTGTTACATGCTGAAAAACTCATCTGAAGCTGAACCCCAGACTAATGCACCATTCTCAATGTGGAATTACACAAAATACAAAATGAAATAAATGTCTACCAACATGGGGCTCAAACTGAGAATTGTTACTGAACCATTTCACTATGGTTGCTTTTATTCAATTCAGACAGTAGTGTTTCATTACTTAAGGCTGATTCAAGGCAGAAAATGTCCAAGTCTGTGCCCCTCCCATATTTTCCTCAATCCCACATTCCAGCAGCCACGAAAAGACTTAGATTTAACAGCATGAAAGATTAGAACTATGCTACAAGTAGCTACCGGTACACTATTTTCTTTTTGACGGTGCCTGCTTCAACCAGATGAGAATGATTGAAACAGAAATGTAATTTTGTTCTCACCTTTTCCATGAGGTACATGTGTACCTCATTAAGTGTACGTGTATGTAAGATTGAATAAGCCTGTTTCAATGTAAACTGTATGACGAAGACCTTGTTCAAATTAAGCTTACATACAGCTTAAGTTGCTCCAAAACAAAAGGAAAATGGAATTAAGATCTCACAAAATTATAGCTATGCAGGCATTAGAAGCAGGATAAGACAGCTGTCGCACAAAGAAATCAGAACTTATGACAACCCATTATTTTGATCCTACATTAGAATGTCTCTGACAAAAATTTTGCTAGGATTGACACAGACCCCGTGAATTTTTCAACATACACATACATGTACATGTAACAGGCCACTCAAGTCCATGTACATGTACTGTACATGTAGGTAAGCAACTTGCATCAACCTTTCCCATTTAAATGAAGAAAACCAAAACAAACAGTACATACTTCTTCCAGACTATTTCTGAAGACTGACAAGACATGATCTTCAGTTACTGAATCCTTTCCATTATTGTCCTGGATATTTTCCACTGCCATTTGGAAGAATGTAGCATATTGCTGGAACACTTTTTGTATATCCTTGTTAATCAGATGCTGTAGCGTACCACGTAGAAAATCTAATGTAGGAATGGGATTGAAGGTACTACCACCACTCCTAGATCAGGGAAAAGAACAACCAAAAGTAATAACTAATGGTGCAATGCCAGATAAATACCGGTATGTAAAGTACATGTACATGGACCTTCTGCATGCACTTTAAACTGTGTGGAATTTTAAAACCCAATTTAATTAACTCTCCTATTGTCTGTCTGCCTTTAACTACAGGACAACAAGTTTTTAATTATTGTGCTAGATTGATTTTAATAATCAGCTGAATTTTTCCACTACTTTTTAAGCAACAGTAAAGTAAGCAAGTGGTCTGTCTTGAGGAATGTTTTAAATAAAGGGTTTGTACAACTTTTGCACGGTGTGTTCTCTTTCACTATCTGAAAGTAAGTCTTTATTTTGGTGAAGCGGTTTTCATCGATCAACTAGAAAATGTAACCAAAAATAAATTCAATTTACTAACTGAATTTTCAATACACCGAATGTCAATGATAGTTACCGTACCTTGTTTTGTAAGACATGCCAGGCTGACGAACAAGGCGATAATGTTTGTGCACAGGAAAGGTCTTCAGAGTCATACAGTAAGGGTTACGCTGTCAACATATCAATCATTACAGAACATTACATTGAAAATATATGTAGCATACATTTCCTCAGCAGTAATTAACATTACATGTAAGTTGCATATGACAGTCTTCAACAAAGTAGCTCAATTGTTATCATCTTTGACTTCTCAAATTATTTACATGTATTGAGGGCTTAGAAAAATATGAATAAAAAAATATTTTTCTTTCACAAACACAGCGGATCCTAAGCTAATGCTCAGAGGCAATGCCAATAAGCAGGGTGTATTTAACAATTACTTTTTATCAGTATACATGTACATTTATATGAGTAAAAAATATGTCTGTTGTACATGTACAGGTACACTAGCCTATGGAACATGTACATACTAGCCTGAGGAACAGGTGCCCCGTTCATTTGAGTAAGAAATGCACTCTTTGCAACAAGAATGGCACTCAGAATCAAGTCTGAATCAATCAAGTTTTGATCTGAAAAAGGGAAAGCCAAAAAAATGTTTCGAATTTGCCATCTAACGTGGGCAAGGCACAATGCATAGTAACAAGCAATCAAGTGAGTGTGATGCAGGTATGGTTGACTGAATACCAACTCGTACATACATGTATGTATGTAGAGTGTACATGTTACTCAAGTGCATGTCATCATGTAAAGTGTATTCCTCCTGCCCAGTTTCTCAAGCATCTTTGTATTTGATTTGTATTTGTCAATGTCTGTGAGTTGAATGTATGCATTGTTTGTGTTCATCAAGGCTGTAGTGTCCTGTGGGGTAAACAAATGAAAATAAATAAATAATTCATTGATGGTATGGATATTCATGTTACCATGGTCTCGTCATTTACATGTATCTTATGTGTTACAGGGTTTTTATAATGCCCATAACATGTGATCCACAGCTCACAATTTTTACAAAATGCGTTTTTGCCACTGATCGTCTTACAAGGCTGCCATCAAATATAATTGCTAGAATTTATGGAGTAAGTACATGTACAGGTGTACATGTACATGTATGTAATGAAGTTACACATTAGATGCAGACGCAGAAGTGCAATCATTATTGTAGTCTGACCTGTGATAGTGCTGGTAATAGCAAAACCATCTTGAGTTGCCTTAAAGAAGCAACCCCCAAAGGAACCATACAAAATTTCGATTGAGATCAATGGTTTGGATTGCAATGAGACTGATTGGATTGCTGATGCATTTAATGATTACATGCACTTTGTGACTTGTGCACAAACAGTCACAAAGGATTTGCCAGCCACAGCACCCACTGTTCTTCCGGAGAGGTCAAATGAATGTGTTTTCAATCTGGAACCAGTCTTGGCTGCATTTGTTGAAAACACACTCCTGACTATGGATGTAAGTAAAGCTACAGGGGATGATCAGCTCAGCTGTTGTTTATTAAAACTTGCTTGCCCTTCCTTCACTCATTGAGAAAAATTATAAATGCCATTGTTGTATGGATATGTTCCTGAAGGATGGAAGAGTGCCAAAGTGGTTCAAATTTTAAAGTCTGGCAATACCTCCGATATAGGTACATGTAACTATCATCTGATTTCTATCTTAGCAATCGTACTGGTAGGTAAGATTGTGGAGGGGCAGGCCCACTATTTTTTTCTATTTATGTGAATTCTATGCCCTCCTTGGTCAGTGATGGTATTGTTGATACATGTACATACACAGACGATACAACTCTCACAGTTAATGGCAAGACTACTGCAGATGTTGAAAGACAGTTATCTATTGCACTGAAACAGATCTCCGCTTGGTTGAACTTAATCGCCTTGTTCTGAATCATAATAAAAACTAATGTGCCCTTTTGTTGCTAGTTTAAAATCTGAAATTAGATCAGCAACCTCCCTTGGCTCATTTAACTTAAGACACTGATAAAGATACCAATCTAACCTTGTGAGTTACACCTTATTTATTAAGTTGGTTTTGATAGTGTATCATATATGTATTAATTTTTTACTGTTTTAAATTAAATTTATCAATCTTCTTTAATTGTCATCTTTGTTAACATAATACCATCCTGCTATGTAACTCCATTTTATTTTGTGCATCTTAAGTTACATTTACTTCTGTTGGTACACATATTTGTGTTGTACATTGCCCATATATGGCATGTTCTTCTTAAAATGGACCAAAATGCAACTCCGGATGTCATTTTTTAAAACTTCTAAAAGAGTGACTTTGATCATGTAAAATACAAATTAGCACCTTCAGATTTATAAAAATGATTATTTGGGGATAATTAGGAATAATATGTACTTATGGTGGACACGTGGTTAGCTACCAATGCAAATCAAATGGAGTTGAAATCATTTAAAGTTTTACGTCAAAGTGTTTACACCAAAGGACCTGATTTCAAACTTTCTCTCAAGATGGAGAATTATGTATATTTTTCGACTGTTGTATTTTAAAGCATCTAAGAAATAACTTTAAAAAAATATAAGGCACAAAAGAAATCACAAAATTGACAGAAAATAGTGAGAAAAGTTTGGCCGTCTTCATTCTCTTACCGTTTATAATCACTCTCACTATACCAACATATTTGCCAGGTCTTATAATACCTTTCAACCACCGAAAATAATCTTTAAGTTTGGCTGCATCAAAAATCTAAAATGAGTGCAATACGTTAATTGCGAACATCATATTAGACAGAATTTTGATGACGTTCGAAAATTTTGACAAAAAAATGCATGACGCACAAGAATGCCAAAAATGCTGTCACTTGTAGTGCTTGAAAATTCCATGTGCGATGTTCATTTTGCACCTTATTTTGGAGATATCCCCGCTGAAAATTAATCAAAATTAACAACTCTGAGCATTAGATTTTTGTCATAAATTGTATTTTACATGTATGTCTCGGACGTCATTCAGAATGACTGATTTTCTTTCGAGAAACCTTGGTCTGAAGAGAAAAATCGCGGAGCGTCACCATTCCGTGGAGGGGCTCATGAAAATTGAATGAAAAAGAGGGCGCACTATCTGGGTTGATTTCAAAGGTCAAACAGGCCACGATGCAACAAAACGTTTCTCTAACAGCACCGTGAGATAATGACGATCGGTATTTTGGACTGCAGATTTCGGAAACGTACTTGTGAATGTGATTGGTCCAGTCATAAAAGGATGATGGTTTGGCGGTGCTTTTTGCACCTTTTGTTAAAGCTTGTGTTGTACATCGATTTGGATTTTAGTCGATTTTTTTTACACTACTGACAGAATCGAATGACGTTCACAACTGCAGACTTTGGGACCCGATTAATTGTGAGAGGTATTTTTTAATTTCGTGATTATGGTTTTAATATGCGTAAATACTATCACCTTTCACGACATACAAATCTGTGTAAAATAACCGCGGAGATTATCACTCCTCGGTACATTTTATTGGCTAGGATTTCAACAGGTTGTTCACGTCCGTCAAAAATGCTTACGTTCGAGATTTTCATTACTTAACACCAATTAAGTTGAAAGATGGAAATGGTCATTATTGTTCCAGATATCAACCATAACTTGCCTCATTACATGTATTGGGAATTAATTCACTGCTGTTTACTTAAGGAAAAATGAACCCCAAAGTTGGACATTATCTTTTGGTCCATATTTTGAGGAACCTGTATACATGTACATGTACATGTATATACTTGTTTTCTTGTTTCAATATCTTAAATTTTCAGTTTTGTATATGTCATCTTTGTTAGTATTTTTATCTCTTGTAGCTTTAATTCTCAGGGCCCTGTGGAGGACCAAATCAAAATGTGAATGGGCTACCCTGATTAACAACCAGAAAAAATAAAGCTTGCTGAAAATTTCCACCATAAAACCAAGTCTTGGAATGGCAATGGTCTCTGGGAGAGCCAGGCATTGATCTGCCATCTGACCGTCAGTTTGAGATTCTGATTTTTTGTAATTTTCTGTTAACCCACTGTTTTGTGAAATTTCATTGAATAATATTTGAGTACATTTACCACTTTCAATAAGGCCAAACAAAATAAGAGCTGTGCTTCTGGTGACCTGCCCCAACCTAACAAATCACGTTGACCCTAAATCTTTTTACTGACAAAAGAAATATGAATGAAAATAAAAAATACTGTTGCCGACCCTCGTGCTTATTTCAGGGGTGTGACACCCCAGCTTTGTTGTGGAGTATGTCGAATTTCATTTTTCACTTTTTTGCCATTGACAGGCTGGATTTTCCTCAATTTTTCCATTTTTTTCTTGTTCTACTGAAGCAATGCGACAGCCAGGCCAACTTTGCACGTCCCCATTTGGACACGGAACAGTTCTGGAGCTCAGTATGCGCACCTGACTGAATTAACTGTGCATGCACATGTTCAGTATGGAGCGCAAGCCTCGTATGTTAATAGTATCCTGGGAAGCACTAGGTCATTGTGTTGTGATTGGCTGCCAATGAAGCATCAATATTCATACACGGCTGGGGTCTGCTTAAGGGCCCTAAGAAAATTTGGAAATGTAGATGCATTTTACAGCCTCCTATTGCACCTGTTGAGTGTTGGCCGTTTTTGTCTTGCAATTTAGGCTATGTATATTTTTAATTCTATTTTTTGGCTGAAATTCCCGCAGGTTCAAATAAACTACATGTAGTAATGGTTATACCAAAATTGTAAATATCGAGGTTTGTAGAGTGAGTTGGCCTTTTTCCCAAATGATTTAACCAAACCAAGTTTTTGAAATTTCGATTTTCTTTTAAAGAATGCACATCGCAGTCCAGGCTTTTGAATTTTCTGGGTGCAGACTGCGTTGCTTGCCTGTGCATTCCATTCACGTCCATTTCAGCATCCATTTTGTGAGGATTGGTCTTGCTAAAAACTGTATCCAAGTCAGAGTCTCTTTGGACAACTGTACATTTGTGTTGCACTGACATTTTGATGAATTAATGTCCAAAAACTGTTTGAAAGCCGTACAAAATGATGCAAAACTGCGCAATAATGCAAGACACAAGAACTTTACACGTTCCACACCAGTTGTCACGAAGCCCTCTACCAGCAGAAGCAAAATTTTACTACCTTATTTCATGTCGCAAATTTACAGCAAAATGTGTGCTACCACAACTTCCAGTGGAGCTTGTTACATGAGCTTCTGCTCATGCAGGAAAGGCTATAATGAGTCCCACTGACACATGAATATTGATATATACGTATCATTAGCAGCCAATCACAGCACAATGACCAGATGGTCTGAGGATGCTGTTTACAAACAAGGCTTGCTCCGCACTGAATAATGCCCACACATACATGTATCATACACTGTACACATGTCCATGTACATGTACATTGTTGAACAATAAATTCAGTTGTGTGCATACAGCGCACAAGCACTGTGTCAGGAAAGAGGGCATACAAAGTGTGGCCTGGCCGTTGCGTCGGTAAAAAGAGAAAAAACAGCAAAATCTGCACTTGTGCAAAGAAGAAAAACAAGGAAAATCTGGCCTGTCAATGGCATATTCAACATGTTCAACAAAAAAGCGAATATCCACTAAAAAGTGGAGATTTCACACCCTGTCCTGCACAAAACTGTCCCACTTTTATCCCAGATTTCTGCCTGTGCTTTCTGATTCTCTTCTGTCTCATACAAATTTTTCAATTCCTCTTGATAAAGCTGACGAATGAAATCATATTACACCACACCTACAGATGCAAGTGTTTTTAGAATCCTGAGGCATTCTCAATCTACACGTATTATCTTACATGTGTGTAAGCCAACACTCAGGATGTCCGTCAAGCAAGTCATAAGTAATTCCAGCCTTGTATTACATGTACATGTAGTTCCACAACCAAAACACAAATCTATTGAGATATTTTCCCTTGGGACCACTGAGGTACATGTACATGTATGCGTATAATTACCTTGTTTTCAGAGTGTAAACATGGCACCATACCAGGTACTATACTGCTTTAAATTGCTCATCACACACAACTGAAAGATGCCACAAATTTAGATATTGCTTTACCTGGGGATGACATGTAGGGTATTGATTTTGATCTACAGTACCTTGGACCCAAACCAACTTATACCCTTGCCAAGTCAGAGTTGACATGGGTCTGAGTCAGCAGAGGCCAAGTTGGTTTGGGTCCGAGTTGACCTCATCCCAGGGTACTTACCACTATCTTTTGGGGTTCTTTATTTTCTTGTATGTCTAGTAGGTCATTGGAAGCTGTGCTGCAGGAAATCAGAAAGGAAATGATACATCATGGACCTATTTGGTAAGCATACATGTACAGGGAACTACAGAAACCTGCAAATTCTTCATTCATGTAGGATTTCAAAGCATATGATTACAACCCACAATTGCAAGGACTTCACTACTTCAACAATGAATGAATTGATCAATAAAAAAACCCTCAAACCTCATCTCATTTTCAGAATATCATACCGTGAATGCTGCAAGTACACGTACATGTAAGGTGCTTTACAAGTACTATAGCCTCTGACAGTTTTAAAAACAAACACTGCACATGGCATTCTCATGAGTCGTGTTGTGAGCAACTGGTACACACATGTACATGTACATGTATGTGTACTTGTACATGTACATGAGTGTATGCAAAAATCCCAACATTTTCAAGCCTTGCTGTTTGTACATTTACGTGCAACTATTCAGACTATTGTAATAGGCTTGTAATATAATGATGCCACGCTTTGTTTACATGTGTGCTTTCCTGTGGAAGTGAGGTGGGATGCAGTCCATTGAGTCCCCATAGGAAAACACACATGTACATGTAAACTAACAGCGCATGACATCAAATTATGTTTTAGGTCCATTGCATATGCACATTTTAATTAAATCATCGGAAAGCAAATCAACTATAAAAATCAGTACTGCATATACATGTGCAGTTGTATATGGTACCTTTGGCTTCAATTTGTATTTTCATTGGCCTAGAACTATCACCTGACTGGGCAATAAAAATTCTCCTCACCATTAGATAATACATCATGACCTTTGCCTTGGGAAATAGAATACTTTATGGATCACCTTGAAAGACTAGTTTTTGCTACACCACTCCAAGCAGTCACTGGCTGGAGCGTGAAATGTATGACCATGGACAGCCTTTTTGTCTCAATAATGATTTTGTGCGTGTGAATAATGAAAATCCGTGGGGAGTTTTTGAGAAGGTGGGCAATGGACACAAACAATCCCATACTTTTATTCCCATAGCCAAATCTCCAATACCCCCCATAACCCTTTTCAGCCATTCAAATAATTATTGCTAATTTTGAGTCATGTCTGACAATGAGCATGTCCATAGTCCTGTTGAACTTTACCTCTTGACTTCTCATGTTACTTCTTCTTCCTTTCCTTAACCACTTGCTGCCGGGTTCAATTAAAACGGCCATGCACAAAAACGAGTGTTTTCAAGATTGTCCGTTTTCAAAATTCTTCAAAAATTCATTACTTCATTTACTGGACATTTACATGGACACCCATATGAATGACTGTCTGGTGGCTACTCTAATCTGACAGGCAACATCTACTGACGCCCATGTATTTCGCCAGGACTGCTGCCCAGATTGTGTGGACTTGCGTAATTTTTTTTGTTCTCGAAACTGGAGCAGTTCAGGAGTGGCGTCTTTTTCTTTTTTTCAATGGGGCTAGATTAGGGTGCAGCGCTATTGTGTTGCTCAGCACTGCAGCGCTGGAGAGCTTTCGTCTGTAGTTGTAATCCTTCGCATTGAATGCCACATATAGTGGTACAGTGTTTAAAAAAAAGGACAGATTACCTCCGCTATTGACAACTGAAAAAATGTTCTTCAAGTCCCAGCAGCTTGGTCTTTTATTTTGAGTACAATCTTTTGTTACAAGACCTGGCTCCTTTGTCCGATTTCGGGTTCCTCAACTATGCGTACAAACATAAGGTACCTGATACCGGGTCCCCCAGCGCGAAGTGATTACACGTACATGTAGCTTGGGGTTTAAATTTGCACAGTCCCAATCATGCACAGCCACATGTACAACTTACAGTGATACTACATACAGCCAACAGCCCCTTGAACCGGTCAGCTCACTCAATCTTGTATCATACACGTCACCACACTTACACGGTTCCAATACCATGAATACTGTAACCATAGCCTATGATCAATGCATTACGGTTACCTTAACTATAGCCACTGTGTTTAACTTTTGGATGTATGGCATGTGCACGTGCATGTATATTGTCCATTTGGGAAAAAAAATATATTTAAATCAGAAATGCTCTTGTTGAGCTTAAAGTTGCCATTTGTTTCATGTTGCAATACAAACTGTACGCTAATGCACGGGGAAACTATCGATAACGTCAACATGTACCAGCCAAGTGCTCCATTTATAATCGAGCAAGTAGTGTGTGCATGTGTATGCCGATAACTGTTTTCTGAATGGCACAACGTACGGTGTACAACTCAATTAAGTCACAGCTAATGGATATTGCGCAGCTCAGGAAACAGTTATCAGCATAAGCGTGCACACTCCTCAGACCCAATTATGAATGGACCACTCAGCCAGCCTGTAGATATTTTCCTTGTCATTAGCGGGATTTTCCATCACTGAAAGTTGCCCCTCACTATCTGCACTAGTGTTTGGACATGAAGTAAGCCCTTGGGATGAGGTTGAGACTTGGCAAGAAGAAGACTTGCACAGTGAGCATAAAGGCCTGTGCGCGTGGGTGTTTGTGAGTAGCATATCCAGAATGCAACCCGATTGAGAAGTTGGGGTGATTCATGGTGCACACGATAAACACAATATGATTAGAATGCACACCTGACAGCCTACACACAGTCATGAAATTGTGCTGCCCTGTTTGCTAGTTGTGAAGAGGGGCATAGGACTGGTGTTTATAACCCGCCAAGGATGTTAGCATAGTAGGGAGCAGAAGCTTATGAATATGATTTCACAAACAAGAATATGTTTAAGAGGGAAATATCGTACAGATCAAAGTGGAAAATGACCTGTTTTAATTTTCTTTTTTTTAAGGCAACTGCTTGTTATTTCTGGGAAAAAAGTAATTTTTAACACCATAGCAGTCCAGAAAAATTTCTGGAAATCTTTTGCACAATGTATGGTAGTTTCAGACCCTGGACCAAGCATTTTTTTTTTTGTAAATGTGAGATTTTTACTCACCAATTTCCACCGTTTGTGTTTATTACCTTACGCATGTGTCAGACTTGTTTTCATTGCGCAACTGTCCTTGTGGTGTAACTTGTAAGCTGATACCTTCAAGAACACGACATGCACTGCGCTGTGTAGCTAGTTGTGACCGATCGCAAGATCTTAGAATTCTACCCCATATGAGTGAAATCAATTAATGGAAGGAAAAGCCTATGAAGGGTACTAGGGAAATGTAAGTTTTGGGACTCCTGTTTTAGTTACTCTTTCTAATAAACATCAGCCCCGAGAAAGAGTATTACTCAGGAAGTGTCATGACCCTATTTGGGTTACATTTGGAAGAGTTAATCAGGAAAAAATGAGACTTTCATACCATATGTCCGTCAACATAAATGCACGGTCAGCTTAACACACAGTCACACATGGCAGACTGTACAGCGATGTGTGGGCTCTGTCAATGTTGTTGTTTTTACCCCATAAGCCTAATCGCAAATGCCACGAGAGTTTTGCACAATGGCAGAGAGGCATTGTGGGAAGGAAAAGGGACACATCCACGCAGTATTAGCAATAAGGCTTATTATTTCACTCAAAATTGAAATCCTGAGTCTGAGTAACTTGGATTATACCATATATGAATTGCCTTTTCAATGGTCAACATGGTCGGACGATAGTACACATACTACTGGTCCAAGTAGGATGGGTAACTCTATGATAGCGGTATCACATTTCCTGATTGAAATACATGTAAAGATTAGTTATTCATCTTCCTATAATATCCTATCCTTGCTGTTGTTTGACTCTCACTTTTAAACTTGATTCATAAATTTTGTTTGTGGTTCAATTTATTTTCCCCTATGATAGCTTAGAATGTCTGTGTGTGCACCGTAATCAAGCGGAGTGCAGTCTCCATATCGCGGTATCAAGAAATGGTTTCTACGATGGCCTTTGAAGCACTTTGTTTGTGAATAAATAAAGATAAAAGAATGATTTTGTTTTCAGAGGGAACACAATAGCCTCATTTTGTGATAATGTTCAATTTTCCGTGTAACTGACTCCATTTATCCCAGTCTTTTCCTTAAAGATGCCATACACTGAGAGAACGAGATGGAAAAAATTACACTGCATCACCTTACACTTAATCCAGCTAGGAATGACTTCTTTTTTTTGTCCACCAGAACTTGTTTACCCCAATCTGAAATGTAGCAACAACTTTGACATTCTTATTACTGATATTGGTGTTTGCAGAAGGAATAATAAATAGCTTATATGGTTATCGCAAATTTCATTTTTTGGTGGTCTCATTCTTTTATTGATGTCTGAAACAATTGTTAAAAATGTCTCCTTTCTGAGTTTTAAGTCTCCAAGAGTTATGACCATCTCAGTAGACCTGAACTATTTTATTCAAAATTTAAATAAATTCTAAATATCAGTTGCAAATTCTTTAAATTGTATAAGAAAAGAAGAAAAAAAAGCGACAATAATGGCGACGTAAGTATTTGCTAATCGCCCCGGGCATGGAGGGTAAAAGTACAATTGATACAAGTCTATTGCAATGGAGATTGGGGACGTGCTTTACGCACGCAAAACGTTTTGCAGCACAGAAGCCCTTATTTTGACTCCAAAGTGTGCCTTTGGATACCTTTGGCCATTTCAAAATTGACATATGGACCCTAGCAACAGATATGCAAGGACAGGGCTGCGTTAGAAATACAGTGTAACTGCTATAGAGATACATGTAGATGGTAGGTAATGACAGACATGGTCATGATGGTCAAGGAAATTTACAAATTTTGGAAAATTTACATTTTTTTTTTAAATTATCAAAACTTACATGTACCATGCTTATGGAAACATGCAGTATTTTTCACTCTCTTTTAATAAAACTTATCCTCAGGCCATAAATAATTGATTACCAGGGCAAATCTTGCTGATTGGGAACTCACTCGCACCATCACAACATTCAAAATTTCCGACACCGCGGCCGTGACAATACTGTACTTGGCCTAGGCCTGAATGGAGACCGAGTCAGTAAGTGTTACATGGTTTGACCATGGTTCAAGCTAAGCTGATGCCAAATGGGCCTAATTTCAAACAGACCACACTCACTTTATTACACCGAAGGACTTCATTTCCGTCTCCCCTTGTTCCATTGTGATGATGAATTTTAGTGCAAAACGTGCAAGTACTACTAGGCCTAAATCATACCGGTACGCAATGCATTCTGCTTAGGTTGCACGCTTTAGTAGTTTACATACAGTCAGTCAATGTAGTTAAAGCGCGCCCTCTTGTGTCATCCAGGGTAAGCCTGAGCTCATTTTACTGCGACGGAGTGCAAGTCCACTCAGGTATCTGAAACAAACGTTAAATTATTGTATAGTCCCTAATCTTTCAATTTCTTTTCAATTTTCTGTGGGTTAACCGATTACATTTTGAGTTACATGTATTCCCACAAAACAAAATTACCCCCCAAAAGTGATTTTTCTGAAGTCTGCTTCCAGCCGGCCACTTTTCAAATGGCAACCCCGAACTTTCTCAGGTACTTGGGACCACATTTCAACCCTATTTTTAGCCAGTCTGCTCTCAGATGAAAGCAAAAAGACCAAGGGAATTGATCCTGGCAAAGATTTACACAATCTCAAAATTTTGGGGGCTATGCAATCTTCTTTTTCAAAAGATACTGGGGTACGTTTCATGTTAATGAGCTGGCCAGAAATTCTCACTTGAATTAGTCAGTAGACTGCACCCTACAGGTAAGGACGCGCAATTAGCAATACAAGCCATAACGCCCCCCCTTTTAACAATAATGAAAGGTTGATTTTTTAGGTCTATTTTACTTACCTTTCTCTCCAAAGTGGGTAAAAAGCTCCCAAATGTAGCCTTACTACTCAGATACATGATAAAAGATTAAGAAACCACCACAGGAGTATACTCGCGCATTTCTCGGAAGCATTTTCATCTAGTGTTCTTTTTAACATGTTTGCGCAAAACAAATTCCAAGTCATAGGACAGGACAGGATGAAGCTGGATCCATTGGCCATGCCCTCATCTCTGTGATATTCCTAAGACTATATAGTGAAAGTTGAATATAGTTATACACCAGTGCTGCACAATAACAGTGATCACTCTCAATCACTCATGTCTGGAGCTACAACTGTTTCTGGCATGTGCTTTATTACAACGAAAGACGCAGGTCAGGGTGTTGCATCATTCCTCATACAGCACATGTACCAATAATAAGTTCCAATTGGATTAAAACTCGAGCTGTGTGCAAACTTCGGTTCCATGTAACTCTATGGGCCAACCTTGTTCCCATGAGTTTGATCTTACCACACCATGTTGGTTCCCACCATGCTCTGCATGATCCTAAGCCCTGTACTGTGAGATTTACAGAATTGCAGTTGGTGTGTTTATGCACAATGCAGATTTGCACGAGCATGCAGCTTAAGCATGCAACTCACTTTAAGTTTATGCATATTCATTCTGAATAGCTGGTCAGTGTCATTTTCATATTCTGTCGAGGTTGCTCTTTGGTGCAGTGGGTGTGGTTTATTCTGTTGAAGTGAGACTCCAAGCTTTTCATGGCGGAGGTAGCAAGTTAACTAGATATATTGGAGTATATGGCTGTCTAAAAAGAACCGGTGGTACGTTCTTTTCAGAATGCTCAAAAAGAGATATATCCATGGTGCTACTGCAAACCAATCCAGTTTTTTTTCTTTTTTTACGGATAAACCCAAAAGAAAAACTTTGGGCTCAAATACAACCCAAGACACACAATTACAGGAAAAATAAGTTCACAATAAACTACTATTGAAAATAGAAAACTAAACATACTGGTGAAGACTCCAGTTATGTGTGGAAAAGTTTACTGTTGAAGTTACATCATACTCAGAAACCGCATACAAACTGTCCATTCCTTACATTTTTTATGGCTGATGGCACCGTGTCAAAACATTAACTAATGATTTCCATTGACTATGAAAACAAAGTACGTTAATTTTATAGAAATTGCTTACCCCAAATTGCACTTTGAAAAAATT